CACGCTGAGGTTAGTGCGACGCCTAGATCACGAGCAAACACAAAAAAACCATTATTATCCTGTTCTATAAAGAATTTTTGAAGTTTTATAATCTTCAATCACGTGAAGAGGGTGACGGTAAAAGTGACTCCCATTCAGGGCATCGTACGAGGGTAGCGGTAGAAGTGACTCGTGATCAGGGCACCGTATGAGTGTAGCGGAAGAAGTGACTAAACTACAATTCCTAACGCAACGTGTATTATTGCGTATATGCGTATACACACAACTATCATTATAACTCGCGTTACGGAATTTTCTGGCAATAAATTTCAATACAGGGAAATAAAGAATTAAATTCCGCATCTGGAAAAATTATTCCGAACTTAGTTTAAGACCGCGTTCGCTTGTTATAATAAAAACAAACTACATTTTTTTAATTTTTGCCCATTTTATTCAATCGCGAATATCTCGTAAACTAAAAGAGATAATTAAGATCTGATCGCAGCGTTTTAATCTACGGACTATTTTCTATAAGATGAAATAGTTAAAATGGAAATCTGAGAGATGAAATTTTAATTCTTAAGAAAAAAATTGCCAAGGGGGGGGTGCTTGATACTTTTTTTCGACGATTTTCAAAAATTAATATCTCTTAAACTAAAAGAGATAGCTACCAAGCAATTGTTGATTATGAAAGATTGGAAAATTGTCTATCAGATAAAAATATAAAATAATTATATTTCCTACAGTAAAAGATCGTAAAACGCGTCAAAAGTACTAAAAAGTGACATTTTTCAATTTTTGCCCATTTTATTCAATCGCGAATATCTCGTAAACTAAAAGAGATAATTAAGATCTGATCGCAGCGTTTTAATCTACGGACTATTCTCTATCGGATAGGATAGTTAAAATGGAAATCGGAGAGATGAAATTTTAATTCTTAAGAAAAAAATTGCCAAGGGGGGGTGCTTGATACTTTTTTGCGACGATTTTCAAAAATTAATATCTCTTAAACTAAAAGAGATAGCTACCAAGCAATTGTTGATTATGAAAGATTGGAAAATTGTCTATCAGATAAAAATATAAAATAATTATATTTCCTACAGTAAAAGATCGTAAAACGCGTCTAAAAGTACTAAAAAGTGACATTTTTCAATTTTTGCCCATTTTATTCAATCGCGAATATCTCGTAAACTAAAAGAGATAATTAAGATCTGATCGCAGCGTTTTAATCTACGGACTATTTTCTATAAGATGAAATAGTTAAAACGGAAATCTGAGAGATAAAATTTTAATTCTTAAGAAAAAAATTGCCAAGGGGGGGTGCTTGATACTTTTTTGCGACGATTTTCAAAAATTAATATCTCTTAAACTAAAAGAGATAGCTACCAAGCAATTGTTGATTATGAAAGATTGGAAAATTGTCTATCAGATAAAAATATAAAATAATTATATTTCCTACAGTAAACGGTCGTAAAACGCGTCTAAAAGTACTAATAAGTGACATTTTTCAATTTTTGCCCATTTTATTCAATCGCGAATATCTCGTAAACTAAAAGAGATAATTAAGATCTGATCGCAGCGTTTTAATCTACGGACTATTTTCTATAAGATGAAACAGTTAAAACGGAAATCTGAGATATAAAATTTTAATTCTTAAGAAAAAAATTGCCAAGGGGTGCTTGATACTTTTCTTCGACGATTTTCAAAAATTAATATCTCTTAAACTAAAAGAGATAGCTACCAAGCAATTGTTGATTATGAAAGATTGGAAATTTGTCTATCAGATAAAAATATAAAATAATTATATTTCCTACAGTAAACGGTCGTAAAACGCGTCTAAAAGTACTAAAAAGTGACATTTTTCAATTTTTGCCCATTTTAATCAATCGCGAATATCTCGTAAATTAAAAGAGATAATTAAGATCCGATCGCAGCGTCTTAATCTACGGACTATTCTCTATCGGATAGGATAGTTAAAAGGGAAATCTGAGAGATGAAATTTTAATTCTTATGAAAAAAATTGCCAAGGGGTGCTTGATACTTTTTTTCGACGATTTTCAATAATTAATATCTCTTAAACTAAAAGCGATAGCCACCAACGAATTGTTGATTATGAAAGATTGGAAATTTGTCTATCAGATAAAAATATAAAATATTTACAGTTTCAACAATAAAAGGTCAAAAAACGCCACTAAATGCACTAAAATGTGACATTTTTTAATTTTTGCCCATTTTATTCAATCGCGAATATCTCGTAAACTAAAAGAGATAATTAAGATCTGATCGCAGCGTTTTAATCTACGGACTATTTTCTATAAGATGAAATAGTTAAAATGGAAATCTGAGAGATAAAATTTTAATTCTTAAGAAAAAATTGCCAAGGGGGGGTGCTTGATACTTTTTTTCGACGATTTTCAATAATTATTGATTATTGATTATGAAAGATTGGAAAATTGTCTATCAGATAGAAATATAAAATAATTACATTTTCAACAATAAAAGGTCAAAAAACGCCACTGAAAGTACTACTACTACTAAAAATTGACAATTTTCAATTTATGCCCACTTTATTCAATCGAGAATATCACATAAACTAAAAGTAATAGACAAGAACCGATTTCAAATGCTACAGAAATTTCTCTATAAGATAAGCAAGTTAAATTGAATTGAAAGAGAGGAAATTTTAGTTCATAAGAAAAAATGGGCAAACAAGAGTTTCTGAATACGAGTCACTTTAACCTTCAAGCACGTACAGTGCCTTGAATAAGAAGGAACTTTACTGTCACCCGCAAAGTAAATGCAAATCACATACAAGCCAAAATAAAAGTACAGGAAAGACGCAAAACGAAGATATTTTCTTATGCACTTACACGTTTAATCGTACAAAACATCCAAGAATCCGAAAGTGAATCCAGTGTAATCCAAACTTCGCTTCATATCTTCGACAGATAACTCACGGCCAACATTATCGCACTCGAACACAAATAGAAAGATACCGGACTCACGTATTCCAAACACAACGCGCAAGATTCGTAATTCACAGAAAACCATGCACGACTATTATAACAAAATCTTCTTTTAACAGCTTTTTTTTAAAACAACGCAATTTATTTCATTAAAACACGTGGAAACATTGCGAGGTGCAAGAGCACGCAAGAACACGCGCGACCCGCCCGACGACCAATAATAGACTGAAGCGTGGATGACACGGCAGGCAGTTGAACGCGTGACTTGAGGTAAGATAGCAGGTGTTAAAGGTGGGGGGCTAGCACCAATAGCGCACCTTACACCACAATAAGAGAGCACAATTAATACACATACATCCCGAATAAAATATGAAAAATTATAAAATTTCGGGAGCAATTTTAAGACACTTCCTGCGAAAATACAGGGGGTTGCAAAATCACATCGCATAAAACAACTCTTCACGTTTCAAAATAAGAAAAAAAAAACCGCAAATCAAAGTCTTCAGCTATAAACAAAAATAAATATAATAAAATAAACAAAAACGCATTAAAATTCAATAAAAAAATAAAGATCGTAGGACGCCTGCTCTTAAAAATAATTTATTCCACCATGTGTAGAGTCCACTGAAACTTCTCCAACTCATTCCGCAGTTCCGGATCATCCGTAAACTCATTCTCCGCCATAATCGATATAGGCTGAGTATTAATCGGCAACAAAGTCTCTGGAGGCGGACCTACCACCTCCTCATCAACTTCAACATAGTGATGTGGTGGACTGATGGGCTCCAACTGCAGAGGAATATGCGCTTCCGCCAATCTCTTCACCGCTTGCAAACGCTGCACATAAATCGATTGCAGAGCAGCCGCCTGGGAACTACCACGAGGACGACCGCGTCTCCTACGAATAGGACCCACACCTCGACTGTAATTGTAATACATGGGTTGACTTGCATAGGGAACCGGAAATTCATATGGTGACCTAGCAGGTGCTTCGCTCATGTAAACCCTCGGTGCACGCAGTGGTTGAACATGCAATGGCTGAAATTGTTGCTGATACATTTGCTGCTGCTGCATTTGTTGTTGTTCTTGCTCCAATTGTTGTTTATGTTGTTGTTCGGCTAATTGACTTCTTGACGGAGATGATTGCGCGGTAGCAAAAATCCCTAGCTGGGGATTTACCATCAACTGCGACTGTAGGCAACCAAATTTCCCAAGAACCTGCGAGACATAGAATTGTTTCTCGCTGGGTAACATGGAATCCCACGCATTGGCCACAACAGCCTTCAACTGCAACTTCGGTGTATCGGGATACATCCAGTGATAAAGCGTGCGGGTGCGTTTTGAAAACAACGCACGCGCAGCACGCATAACCTCTGTTTCACTATGCGAAACACCGCCATCTTGTAATTCATCGCCTGTCAACTCCGCACCCGGGACATCTTCATTTTCACATTCAATATCCTCCTCCAATTTGACTCCATCATCCATAAGTGGTGCAGATGTAGAAGTTGATGGTCCCTGCAGTAAATACTGCGACATATTCTCCAACTGCCGTAAATGTGCGTCCATACTCATCTGCGCATGCGGATTCACATTACGCGGTTGATCTTCATACGTATGCGATACGGATAAATTCAACGGTTCTTCCACACACTCTTCAATAACTTTCTGTTCCTCCTGGGCGTTTGAAATTTTCGTTTCCATCGCAAGTGAATTAAACGACCTTCGCCTAGGTTTCTCGCAAATCTACTGTCTGATTCTGATAGCCCGTTGTTATGATAACAGCAAATTTTTAATCACGGCTAACTGTTTTCTTGGCTATTTTTAAACGCGGCGAAACAAAAAATTGAGTGTCATTCGTAGACATACTGTAATCGCTTTTTTCTGTGTTTGTTTGCACAGCCATGATTGACAAGCACTAATGACGTCAGTCGATACAAATCGACTAACATCAATCACAGCAACAAACAACTGTTTATACACAAACAACTTAACAGTTTGTTATAAGAAATAACCGCGACAAGACGTTAAAATGTCGCAGAATTTAAGTAGTGAACTACGTCCGATGTTTTTTTCATCGTTGCCATTTGGTCTGTCGCCATTTACAGTACAATCGCAAGTTGTAACAATCCGAAGAATATTTTCACTCTATTCTGTACTAGCTGTGGTGATTCTAACCTTATTTTACTGCTATGTATTCTATTTTGATCCAATATCAGAAATGTACACAACAAGTAACTTTATAGAATCAACTACAGATCAATTAGAAGCATATTGCAGTGCAATAGCATCTTGCGTATGCATTTATCGCACTTTCGTCAATCGCCGGAAAATATCCACCATTGTTAATCAACTACAATGGTTTGACACGTCGCTAGAGAGGCAAAACAGTAGTCATCGACCAAATAAACAAATAATAAAACACGCTTTTACAAATAACACAAATAATTCTTTAAATATCTTACGTGCCTTGATAATATTCACTTTTTCATGGTTCTGGGTGGTTACAGCTGGTATCTTGGAATGGGTAAACTTCCCTGATGAAACTAACCTTCAATGGGTGGTTTATGTTGTTCCTGTTGGTGTGACAACACAATTAACTCTGCAGTTTATAATGATTTCAACTGCAGTCACAAAAAGATTCGAAAAGATGAATGATTTACTAGCAGTGCATGGAAATACAAAAATGTTGGATTATGTTATGTCTGCGCATGCGTATTTGTGTACAATTGTATCTTTGTTAAAGGAAGCATACAAGGATCAAATTTTAGGTGTTGTTATGCAATCTAGTGTTACAATTGTTGCAAGTGCATTCACTTTAGCAAATGCTTTCCTACGCAAACCACAGGAGAATACTATACTTATGTACTGCTATACAGTGTTTATGTTTTCTACTGCGCTATACAAATGATAATTGTTGTTTATATAAGTGTGAGGCTGGTTTATGAGGTTAGAAAAACAGTTCGTATTTCATTTAGAGATACTTTGGATACCAACAAGGATAATAAAATACGTGTAAGTATTTTAAGTAAAAAAGAAATAGTACTAAAAAGGTTTTGGAGATGCCGGGGATCGAACCCGGGGCCTTTCACATGCAAAGCGAACGCTCTACCACTGAGCTACATCCCCACGATACTAGACACTTAACTAAAACAACACTAAACCAACTTAATTTAATATTTAAAATTTTAGATGTTATTCGCGTTTCAAACGCTGCACGATGACGCCGAATATGAATTATGCCGCGGTTTTCCAGTGGACGGCTCACTGCTCTCGAATGTAAGTCAAAGTCGCGATTTTTATTTGTTTTCATTACATTGAAAATTAACTTTAATCGCATCATCATTTTTCATGCGCTATAAAACCTAACCTCACCTATTTACATCTATGGATGATATGGGGACACACCATCAACAGCTAGTAGGGACTGTGACGACCTACTTATTGATCGTCATCCAATTCGATCTGAATTTAATGGAATAGTCACATATGAAGACAGACACGAGTAATGCGATCCGCTTGCGTAATTTATGAATTTTATGTGCGTATTAAACTAATCAGCCGCGCCTTTTTACTACAGATTAATATTAAGTGTTTTGCTATAAATATAAACGCGCACGAGATGCAACTGTTGATTAAATGTAACTTCCGAGATGGACGGAATGTTAACTTTCTGGTTGGTGTTGATCGCGTGTGTCAAGATGGCGTCTATGGATAACACTAACCTGACACTTACAGGTAATTTTTAAATACATAACCTTAAATATATTCACTCACCGTTTTACTACGTTTTAAGATGATTACGACGCAGCTGAAGAAACGCAACACACTTTTTGTAAGATTGCAACAGAAGAATTACAAGCGACAGCGAATGCGACCATCACGCGTGAGTTAAAAGGCGTTTGTACATCAAAAGAACTTAAACGTGCAATGGCCGTTATTACGCGTGACATTCAAACGCTCAAAGACGCGTTGATAGTACAAAGTGGTGGCGCTGGTGTCGCACGGCAAATCAAACGCAACAAACGCAAAATCTACTTGACTTGTTCGCTGTTTCTAATACACACAATGAAAATAATCTGTTAATAAACAAAAGCGATGGGCGATACTCATACTACTGGACACTTACCGATGTTGAACAGTATTTATACGAAGGTGTCACTTTAAAAAGTCCAATTATTACATTTCAAGGTTAGTTTTTGACGTTTTAACTTAATTTTAGCGATGATTTATACTCAAAAAAACTTGTTTTAGGTGTTAAATACTTTCTACGACTTACAATCACAGACCGCAATGTGAAAATACAACTTTTAACAAAAAATCCACCCGATTTGACACTGACAGCCTACACAGTCTACGTTTTGAGTAAAAATGGCGTAAAAGATTTACGTCTGGACGAATCCAACGCATACAGCGCCACCTTGCGCCGCATTCGTCAATTCAAACACGATACCAACACGTTATACATAAAACTAGTCATAGAATAACAAAACGCTTAAAATCTAACCTCTATTGTGTTAAGTTTCGTTTTAAAATTCATTACATCCACTAAATTCACAAACAAACACCTAATAAATCCAGTATAAGTACCGTCGTGCTTGTAAGAAACTTGTTTAAACTCTTTAATCTTATTAAAGTTAAAATTTAACTACAACTTGCACTTGTTACCCTTGCGTGTGATGTTCATATACGGCTGCACCAACGGATGCATACCGTGCGCGCTTTTAAACACTGTGATATCATTAATCGGCGTTGTTTGCTTGGGACTAGGCGTAGTCGCCGGCGGCGTTAAATTATTCTCGACATTGCCATTGAGAACACTATGGGCAGGATTATCACAACCGGCCCCGCCCTCGGCAGTGGACAGCACATGCACGGAGATTTTATGCCGCTGGGCGGCGTCTTCCGCTAGCAATTGTTTATAGAACGCGATCACGTCACTCTTTTCAACTGTGCGCAAATACTCAACCTCGACATTCGCGCGGTCGAAATGATACTGTTGACTGGTTATCTCCGACCAGAAGATATACGATTGCATTGAGAGTTGTTTGGGTTTCTCGAGGCGTTGCGCGGCGAGTGAATCTTTGTGTTTTTGGAATTCTGCGGCGGGCATATCTTCAAGATGTGACTGAAATTATTAAAATTAAAAAACGCATTTTTAATTTTTTTTAAATTAATTACCAGCATGTTCCGTAAAAATTCCTCAATCCTCTCATCAACATACTCCGGATGACGATCTGATTGGACGATGATGCGGAGTCCTTGCACGCCATTGGACCGCCGCATACCGCTGAATACAATATAACCTAACTGTTGTTTAGTGCGCAGTTCATTAAAACAAGGTTCTTGGATAATATGCGCAAATAAATCCAGCAGAACATTACTCTGCTTCGTCTGCATACCACACTGGTAATAAATCTCGACACATGAAGACTTATGAATGTCATTTTGGATGTTGTACAAATAATTACAACCATCTTCTAGTTTCAATTCGCGATTGAGTAGTAGTTGACGCGGCAGGAGCGGTGACATGCGCACTGCTTCACTCAAGCGATTCTCGACGATATCAACCAAGTCTAACGCTTTCTGTTTGTTGGCATTGCCGTGAATGAAACATTCAATGTGCATCTTGCTTAAGATCTGCGGGATGAATGCTTCGAGGCGGTCAATTGTCACTTCTAACAAAATAAATCACAAAAATAAAGTTAGATTATGTAAAATATAAAAGTTAAGCTATGTAAATGTCAACGTACGATCCATAGTCGCTAATAACTCTTGTTTTGTCCATGAATGTTCTGTTAACAACACGGCAAGATAATAAACAGCGTGTTGATACGGCTGTTCAGCGGAAAAGTTCTTCAAAGTCCTTGTATACTATAACAAAAACATAAATATGAATATTTTTATATATAAAAATATAAAAACTTACGTTTTCCTTGTAAATTTCAAAGCGTTTGGGGTCAATTTTAAACTCACACAAAGACTGAATAATTTTCTCTAGTAATAAATGTTGTTTAGTGCTAAAACCACCAACAGAGAGCTAAAAACAACAACAAAATATTTTTTCCACTGAAATTCAACATTTACATCAATTTTTATAGAAATAAAACTTACAATAAGTCCATATTTTGTATTACTCAGCTCCCAATTCAACCCAGCGAGCTCAGCAGCATACGCATACTGATTCAGCGAATCACGAAAGAGTTGTGTGAACATATGCGTGAGATTACAACTCAACGGATCCAAATACGCAAGTGGCGAGACAAAGTCAAACATTAAATTCGTCTTCGGCAATAAATAATTATCATCCTGCTTGAACCACACGCGTGTAATCGCTGTATCTTTTACAATTGCCGGATGCTCTGTTATCTTAACAATTAAACATTAATTTAATACTTTTTAAACCCAAATTTTACTTACATCTTTATCAGCCGGATACAAATCGAATTCATCCGGAATAAAATCATTCTTTTCCGGTAAATGCAATTCTTTGCTTAAACCCGCATTCCGCCAGCTTTCCAATGTAGTTTCCGGAATCCGGAATAGTTTATAAGGTGTATTATACCATGGTTCTCGTTGATCAGCAACCGCTTCGAATTTTTTCGCGATAATAGCGACGCGGATGTTATCCGGCGTGCAATTCTCCAAAACTTGCGTGATTATCTCCGGTCGCCAGTCGGTTAGCAGGTAATGATTGCATAAAACATGCTCAAATGGATATTCTTGCACTTTGTGCGTTAAACTCTCGATGTAAGACCGCGGGGATTCTTTATCTTTGAACCGGAATGTCATGGCGGCGATATCACGTTGTTCATCGTGATACGTGCGAATCGGCGGCGATTGTTTCAACATATTCAAATACTAGACATAAAATTATTATTTTATATTTAAATATGTTGAAATATTAAATAAAATTACCTGAAATATCATTAAAATGATTTCATCGGTGTGTTTGAGTCCCTCTTCAGTGAGATCAACAGAAACACCGAAAAATCCTGTCCCACGATGTGGTTCTTTGTATCCGGCGTATAATTTATTAGACCAACCTTTTTCTTTCAAAGCGGAAAGGATACTTCCGGGTCCTTCGTGACCAACAAGGTTGCCTATGTAATCACCAGGCTAAAGTAACATTAAAAACAATCATAACCTTTAAATTTTCATAAAATTCACTAACAAAAGCACAAAAAAACTTAAAATATGTATGATCCTGATGATAAATACGTTGATATGATGTATGACATTGATCCGACCCTGATCTACATCACAACAAGCATAACAAATGAAGCCACAGCAATAAATAGTTATTGTACATGTGAAAAATGTGATTCTAACTGTGAATGCATCAAAAAAAGTGGAATAAACTATTCGGAAGATGGATTACTGAATATAATCAGTGATAAGGTTGCTTTTGAGTGTAACTTTCAATGTAAATGCACAAATCATTTAAATTGTACTAATAGAGTGACTACTAAACTTGGTACAAATAAAAATTTAATAATTAAAGCAGTTTTAAATAAAAATTATGGAGTTTTTAGTACTGAGAGTATTTTAAAAGGAAGTTTTATTTGTGAATATGCTGGTGAGATAATAAATGAACAAGAAGCTAAAGAAAGAAGAGAAAAATATAGAGAAATGAATGTTTGTAACTATATTTTTGCCTGAGAGAGATAAATATTGAGTTGAATAAAGAACAAGTGACAATTGTTGATCCCACTGCAATGGGGAATGTTGGGAGGTTTATAAATCATAGTTGTGAACCAAATTGTATGATAATACCAATAAGATGTGATAATATTCATCCTAAACTATGTATTTTTACTAAAAGAGATGTTTTAAATGATGAAGAAATCACTTTTGATTATGGATCACATTTTGAAACAAATAAAAGTGAATCTGATGCAGAGAATAGGATAATTTGTTGTTGTAACTCGGGAAATTGTAAGATATATTTACCTTTTCATGAATAAATAATTGTAGAAACATTAGAAAATGTATAAATATAAATAAAAACATCTTAACATCTTAACATCTTAAATTTCGGGATTTTATCAGAAAAATGTTTTAAAAAATGAAAAAAACACTTTTTAAACAAATAAAACCTAATCAAACTCAAAAATAGAAAATTTTGAAGTTGTAACTCGAAGAAATGACAGAAATTTCATCATTTTCATGAACAAATAACAAAAAATTAATAATATATATAAATAATTATAATTTTCTTCCTAAACTTTGTATTTTTACTAAGAAAAAGTATTTTTAAAGATGAAGAAATCACTTTTGAAGCAAATAAAACCGAATAAAACCCAAAAAACACAATAATTTGCTGTTATAACATAAAAACCGGTCAAAAACTTTCACCTTTTCATAAACAAACAAAATTTTACGTTTCACTTACCCCTGATTCATAATATTGACTTAAATCCTCACAGGGAAACACAATATTCAAATTGCGTATATCCTTCACCGGCACAACCTGCGTACAGGTCCCCATTTGTTCCGCTTTAAACGGATGTACAGGCCAAGATGGCGCCTCCACATTTTTATTCTCCACATCAGCAAACAACTCCACAACCATCGCCTCCAATTCATCCAAAGACTCCTTTCCCAACACTGCCAAACTCATAATATTCGCCGAATACCACTGCGCGTGGAACTTCAACAACTCATCACGCACATCAATCCCGCGCTCTTTCGGGCCGATATCCAGCGTCATTTTGTTACCTGTACCGAATTTATGGAATGGATGAGACGGGTCACAGGAGTGTCTATCCAACTGATACAGGCGCCAGTTATCACTGGAGACGTTTTTCTCGTGTTCGCTGTTCACAGCGTTGAGTTCACGTTCGGTTGCACTTTCAGTGAATAGGGGATGAAGAAAAAACTGCGCGAAACTAATTTAAACATAGAAATAATTTAAAAATGTTTTAAAATGTTTTTAGGGTTTTTACGTACCGATCTAAAGCAGAATGTAAATGTTCTGGTAAAATATCAAAATAATAATTTGTATGATCCGGAAATGTTGTTGCATTCGACATGCCGCCATGTTGACTTGTAAACTTCATGTAATCATTCTCGATGGGGTATTTTTCAGTACCTAAGAATAACATGTGTTCGCAGAAGTGTGCTAGGCCTGGTAAATGATCTGGATCACTCAAACTTCCTTTAAAAATCAATAAAATTAATTTTTTACTAAAAAACATTAAATTTCTACACTTGCCTACATTAATATCCATTGCAGCAGCACTTTTATCAGTACTACTATCACTCACAAGCAAAACTTTCATCTGATTGCGAAGAACAAGTCCTCTGTAGCTTCGCTTGTCTTCTTCACTCTTGATGATGTCATCCACACGTTTTACAACCATATCGCTCATTTTCTTCTTGTTGTCTACTTGTTTAACAAAGCTGTGGTTACCTCTGCTTACAACTCCAAGTGTCCTATAAAAGGAAATAAATATAAGTGTTGATAGGAATTAAATAACCTCGAAATTTAAATACATACAGAACAAATGTGTTTTTTAGTCTTTGTCTGCACAGTGCGTGGATGAGCAGACGTGTACCTATAATATGCATTCAGGGTGATTTCCAATAGACACTTATGATAAATATTAGCACGATTAATCTATGATAAATGTGTTTAATTTGTGAGTAATGTGTGTGTATGGTTGTCTGACAAGACGTCAAACGTATACAAACTGTAAAAGTTGAAGTTTTACCTGATAAACTTAAGAAATATTAATTTATGTGATTTTTGGTATTAATAAGTTATATTTTATGTAATTTTTGATTATTTTGTGATAATATTTGTGTTGGATTATTTGTAAATAGTGAAATATCTAATAAAAATGGCGTCTAATCAATACTTTTCACTACAGGCACAAAATGAAGTTATTTTTATTAATAAATAAAAAATAAGAAGCGATAGGATTATAATTCTTTCTGTGATTGATTAATAATTTAATTCTTGATTATTATTTACCAGTTTTATTGATGTGGCTTGTTTTGTGCACGTGTTATTAATAAAATTTATTAAAATTATGTACACCTACACAAAACTTCTAGAACAGAACTGAATGTTTTTTTTACTCAGTAGTTGATATCAACTAAGCAAGTAAAAATTGTTTTCGTGCACAGTCGGTTATTAAATTATCGGATTTATCCGTGTGGCGTCATTAATGCACGGAGTTGGCACGAAATTTACTGACAAGTTCTTTGTTCCCATGCTGGTACCTCTACCAACAAGTGAATAACAAAATTTTGCGGTTTTATGGTTACTTGTTGTTGGCGGTGTGAAAAATGAAAATTTTTAATAATGTAAAGTGTGGTATTAATATGTGAAAGTAAAAAAGGATCGCCCGAGCAGGGACTTGAACCCTGGACCCTTGGATTAAAAGTCCAATGCTCTACCGACTGAGCTACCCGGGCAGTTGATGCAAATGCTTCGTTTCGAAGATATAAGCCGAAATAGTCATAGTATTCGGTTTATAATATGTAAATATTCAAGTACATAACTAATAAAAACGTAACATATTTTTTATATGTTGTAATACTTATTTTAGACCATGACTCTGAATTTTCCCAACGTAATTTCAATAAATAAATAAATACTTATGTAATTTTTAGTTTTCTTCGGAAAACGTAAAAAAAAATTTACTCAATAAATAAAGAAAAAGTTAAATAAATCTTGAAGTTATAATACACAATGTAAAATTTTTAATTTTTGTGTTAAAATGAGAAATTGTGTAGTGAAAGAAGACAAAAGCTAGGTTCCACCGAGATTTGAACTCGGATCGCTGGATTCAGAGTCCAGAGTGCTAACCATTACACCATGGAACCCGTGATGTCTTTCTCTCAATTTTGAGAGCATTACAAGTAAACAGGTTGCAGTTACCTGAGTTCACACCGACGTGGATATTTTGTGCACTCACTACCACTAAGAAACAACCGCGTGGCTGCTAACAGAGAAACGTGCAGCGAAATCGCAACTCAGAATTTATTTCAAGAAGCGCATCGTAGCGCCATCTCAAGGCAATATTAGAACTTATATTTATTTACTTTATTTAAAAGTGCTAGGCGAATATTTCATCTGTTTTTAAAATTAACTAATAATTCTTCACCAAAATCTTTATAATATCATTATAATCATTATAATAAATGCAATTACAAATTAAAATTCTTTCAGATCTAATTAATTTACAAGAAACAAAAAACTGAATTTTGCATTTTCGTCAGACTTGTATGACATAATTAATTTGAGAATAAATATTTTGTATTAAATTCTATAATTTTAGTATGAAGCCTTAAAATACAACATTTATTTATAAATGAATTGTATTTATTTACGTGGTGAATCTTTGTCACTTTCGTATAGAGAATTCAGCAGGTAAAATTCGTGTCGATCCGATAACTCGGCAATCGGAAGATAGCAAGAAGTAAACAAACAGTCGATTCGCTGCAAGATGTGGCGTGATCTCACACGGACAAGATTTGCACTCACTACCACAAACATACAACTTCATTGATGATTCAAAACAAATTTAATGCAAATAAGTGAATCCTAGCGCCATCTCGAGTCAATTTATGGCATTATATTTATTATATTTAAACTACGTAAATCTGATAGTCTCGAAACTTGAATCAATTGTTTAAACACAATAAAAATACTCAACCCAACAATTCGTTGTATATAATCAACAAAACTAAGAATATGGAAGCCAAAATTCCTAATTTAGCAAAGAAAACAAAGAAAATTTAATTTTTGTACTGTGTACGAATATTTATACTTCATATTAATTTAAATAATAAATTTTTTGAATTATTTACCAATATATACCAATTTACCTATAAAACAATATTTATTCATAACAGAATCGAGAAATATTTGTTTGTATTTATAAAATGCAACTTCGTCTCTTTATAATACAGAGAATTGAACATGTTCAAACAAGTCGAAAAGATAATCCTGCTATCTTGAGATAGGCAGGTAAACAAACAAACGATTCGCTGCACAAAATCGCGTGATCTCACACGGACGCGGTGTGCACTCACTACCACAAACAAACATAAGGCAGGTAAAACGCAAAGATATATTAACACCGAAAAGTACATCGCAACGCCATCAGTTATCGAATCTTTAGAATACTCAAGATTAATTCAAAAATGCTACTCACTCAAATATACTTCAACTTTCATCAAAATTAACTAATTAAATACTTTAAACACTAGAAAACTAAGAAATAATGAAGAGACAATTAAAAAATTAACAAATAATATATAAAATATATTTATTAAAATAATTTGTGATTTTTCTTTAGATTTTACAATTTGTTTGAGAGTTTCTGATGATGCCCACAGGGGAAAACATGTTAAACTCTCAAACAAATTGTAAAATCCAAAGAAAAATCACAAATTATTTTAATAAATATATTTTATAAATTACTACCATGGATTACGTATTCAACTTAGAAAATAATAATAAATAATCACAAAAATGAACCAAATAGAGACAAATTTGCTCAATTTTACACAAAATCCACCGAATTTCAACTAAAAATCACTCCAAAAACAAAACTAATAATACTTAACGACTAATAAAAGTGTACCAATAAAATTACACCTTATAATCTCCTTAAAACATCATTTATTACCCATATCAATCCCTTAAATATTGTGATTTAATCCCTATCCTATCAATAACATACTGCGGCATACAAAAAGTAGCATTCACTTCCCTAATTCTCTTCCCAACTTTATCCCCATCCCCACAATCCACTTCCTTCTCTTCATACCCCAACAACGACAATGCCGCAAGCCCAAACACCGTATGAAACGGATCGGGCATATCCCCCGGCCGGTCCGCAAACCCACCACTCTCATTATCCTGACACGCAAGTATATACCCTATCAATTTATCCTTATCAATCCAATGCAGCCTACCCAACATAACCAAACTAGACAACACCCACCAGGAATAACAAACATCGGGCAACTTCTCAGGTCTACCACATAAACCACCAGAGGGTAATTGTCTCTCAGCCAACCACCAGGACAACGCATCCCTATCAACCACGTCTAAATTATTCGTAACAGATAAAAATCCTACACAACAATAAATCAAACCAGCGTGGCTTTCACTCAAAGGTCTACTACCAAACCCACCATCAAAATTCATGCAGGAAATGACGAAATCCTTCGCTTTTTCAATGTTTATCGCATCTAGACGTCCGAGTAATGCCAGTGCTAACACAGCACAGAAAGAAAACCGTGTGTCAACCTCTCCCCATTTATCCCGAAGAAAGATCCATCTTCTTGTTGTAATCCTTTGATGTAACCAACTATTCCTTCAATATTTACAACGGAATTATTAAGTTTACCATAAATACTGAGTACTTGACAAGCACTCAATGTGTAGAGAATGTGTGGATCGTGGTTTAATGTCGCGCTTATTCCACCGGAGGTTTTATCCTGACAGTTTTGGATGAATTTGATGATGTCATCTTCTGGGAGAATGTTTTTTGCATCCATGAGGTCTAAAGCAGTGAGGCCCCAGTACATACCGGACATTTTTAGGTAGTCTGTCATGCCGGTTTCGTAGCTGTCGTCATTGCGAGCGTATTCAGCGAGGAATTGTGTGTGTTTTTGTAAAAGAAGAGTTTTTGGCCGATCCGGGGAGAGTTGGACATCTTTTATTGGTGTTGCCATTTGTACCAGGTCCTAGGTGGGTGATTATATGTAAAAATTGGTGGAAAATTATTTGTTTACTTACAATATTTGGAAAATAAGTTGAAAATTTGTGTGGAATTAAGATTGAAGGTTATTTTGATAGAAAATGAATACAAACAGTATATGGAGCGACATCTAGTGCGACTTTTAAGAAGTGATTTTAACAAGGTCAATGTAATATGATGATATTCGTCTTTCATCGGTGAAGTTCGGAGCTACCATTTCCTGCGTATATATGAATATATATGATTCAAACATTAAAAATACTGTGGAAAATATAAGATAACATTATCTCATTATTATCAGTATTAACAGCTACCGCCCAGTTTTGATACGCCAATAGAAATAAATGTCTAAGTGTAAAAGTTAACACGCAAAATAGTATGCCAGGTAAATTAAATCAAACTTAATTAATTTTAATGATAACAACCATATTGTTGTAGTTTGGCTGAGAGGTGGTATCGGGCCAATTCAACCGGAAGTTCTAGCACAAGGTTCCGGAGAACCGGAAGCGCGAGGTTATTATTAAACAAATATTCTAACTTTACGTGTATACTTATTATGTATACTTGGTTGCCTATACTACAGAAATAACATGGGTATACACCCCAGATGCAGACCTACCACGAGAAGCGTTCTTCGCCGGAGAAAATGAAAACTGCGACGAGATGTTCATCGGACGCACCGTTGTCGACGGTGATATGATACCCGGAATGATTGTACCAAACACAGGACAGTTAATATTTAGCAATAAAGGCGTAATTACAACTACAGATGAAAAACAAGTAGAAAAACACATAAAAATGTGTAAAAAATGTTTTAAAACTAAAATATTTTTATATTGCTAGGTATTATGCGGAGTGGTAATGAAGTGGATGATATGCCAACCTACACAAATCCACCATAAGGCTGTGATTGGCGGAAGACTCGCGGATGGTCAATCAATTTACATCGGAATGGCAACAATCAATGGCAAAGTTCTGATTGGTCACGTGGATCCAAGCAAAGACCATAAATTGTTTGTACCCTATGAGGGTAGACAAGAATCCACAAGGAATTATAAAATATTAATCGCGGGTATATAATCTAAAAAATAATAAAAAAAATGATTAAATAAACTTCATAATTCACTTTTTTATCAAAAGCAAACCAAGCTTATGATGACACTAATAAAATACCGCAGTGAAATGATTCACATCGTCGATTGTACTTTGTTTAAAAGATTAAACAACAATTACTAACACGCCACATGATTTTGTTAACTCATGGGCGCAGGCGCACTATAAATACCCGCCATTGTTGTTCACAATTCAGTTTTCATGTTCGTTTGCATCGAGAATGTTATGTTATTGCAAATTAGATATTAAAATTAAAGCGCAAAGCAAATAATACCACCGGCGACACTCAAGTTGATAGATAAGTGCTTATCAGTGGTGTTAATTATACCACAGGTACTGAAATAAACAAGCGAGGTGTGTTCAAACCTTGGGCGACATTCAGTCGGTTGTTATCCGTGATAAAGTGCGCAAGTTATACAAATAAACCTTAAAAATGTCTGGTAAGTTGATGTTATACGTTGAATTTGAACGCCATTTTGTTTTTTTTTGTAATATTTGTAAGTTGTAAGTATTGTGTGTTAATGTGTGCAGTTTCCTGTATTATCCGCCATTTTGTATTTAGAAACATTCATCTCACTTACATTTTTGTAGCCGGCTACGGTTTCCGCCCGGACTTGTACGATCCCAGCGCCCTATCCTACGCACCGAATGATATGCCCAGCGCTCCCCAGGCGCCGCACTGGCACCATCCGCAAGACTTTCCGCCGGTCGGGCCTGGCCAGCTTCCACCCGGCCCACCTGGCAACGTGGAGATGCACAGTATGCATATGCACATACCTAACCACAAAAAACGCTTTGACTAACCAATCATCCTAGATTATAATCGATTAAGTAACTTGGAGTGGTATTACTCACCTCCAGATCCAAGAAAATGATTCATCCACTCATCTTGTTGAACTTTTCGTTGTTTTTATCATTTGTACTTGTTTTATCGTTAATTTTGTGTCTGTGGATGTTACTTGTGCATCACTAACCCGAAACAACATGGCGTAGCTTAAGTGTATTGAGTGTTGCCTATGTTAAACTGTTACGCAAGAGGTATATCAGGTATATGCAACTTTTTGTACAGCTCAGACGGTGGTTAATCCTGGTGAATTGCTTATACTAACCAAAAATACCAAAAATTACATTTATTATGTAACTGGATTGTATTACTCACCTCAAAACCCAAGAAAACAACTCATCCACTTATCTTTCATGGATTTTCCGTGGTTTTTATCACTATTTCAAGCTTTATCACTTGTTTTCTGTCCGCAGAAGTTATTTGCTCATCACTAACCCGAAACAATATGGCGTACTCATGCCTTATGTGTATTAAGTGTTGCCTATATTAAACAACTACACAACCTGAATATAATAAACAACTTTCTATACGTTTCAGACGGTGGTTACTTCTGGGTGAACAACAGCACCTTCTCAAATGTCCCAATGCACGCAGTGCGCGGTGGCACAGACTCCGACGGTTCGGAAATCTTCGTAGGTCGCGCTTTTGTCGGCGGTGACTGGTGCCCGGCGAAAATCGTCCCTGCACGAGGGGAAGCATACGTTGCTTTTGACAGCCAGGAACACGTAGTGACCAATTACGACGTAAATCACAAATAAATCAAACCCAAAACTTATAAAATAACTTACATCTATATTTAGGTATTGTGCGAACAGCGTTTCCAATGGGTGCCTGCATACGGCGGTCAGGTACCACCCAATGCAGTTTGCGGAGGTCAAACCTCCGATGGGGAAAGATTATACATCGGCAGAGCGTACCACGAAGGTTCTAGCACGGTCGGAAAGGTAACTAATCTACAAAAACGCAAAAATCAAATCAAAAAACTCAATATTTTCAGGTTCATCCATCGCACAACTGTTTATACATCCCCTATGGCGGTGAAGAACTTAAATTTGACAGCTATGAGATTCTAGTTAGAATGTAACCTCACATCTTTTGCGATATAAACTTTAAAATTAAATTTTGTTGAATGTTTATTTGAAATATTAAAAAACTTATCTTACCTAAGCATAAATTAATGTAATGTTGGTTGCCTAGTCCTCTGCCAGCATGGCTTCGGGCACCGTGTGTATAATAACCTTCTTCTTCGCATCATATACGAAATTATTCGTCTCGAAGATCTTACTTCTATAGAAAGGCTTCAGATCATGTATATCAATCTGCTTCGCTTTGTCCTTGAGATCCTTCTCGTCGATTTCAATCGTGAGCGCTTCGGTACCATTCGTGCCGCGCATAAACGTCAACTGATCCTGCGCCAGTTGACGTAGAATATAAAACAGCAACTCGGCGTGATCTTTCTTGAAGAGTAAATATCTCTGGAAGATTTGACGCATTGTCTGCATGACACTGTACTTTTGTGTCTCGACGAAACTCTCCAACATCATGCGCACCGCCATACTGACATCGTCATCCGATACATATTCACGTAGGTGAATACGCGCATGCGCTTCAGCCATACGTATCATGCTCTCAATATGACGGACTGTGATTGGTAGTGACGCGGTTTCGAACGACTGTTGCCGAAGTTGCGAGTAAATATTCGCGACTTTATCTTCATCCATATTTTGGAGTTTAGGATGAATATTTTCACGAGCGTAGACGATGTATTTCTTTAACATTTCCTGCGGGATTGCTAGTTCATCGATGAGGGCGCTAGTGTCGTCTAGATCGTCTTTTTTAGAAGGATGATGGCGGATGTGTGAGCCAACCACGAATTTAGCAAGATGTTGATCTTGTATCGGGTCTACTTCATCACGTACAACGCATAAGATGTCAAAACGCGAGAGGATTGGGTCAGACAAAGCGACATTTTCGGAAAATGTCATACTGGCGTCATATCGACCACCGATTGGATTCGCCGCGGCGATTACCGAACAACGCGCTTGTAGAGCCGTAACTATACCTGCTTTTGAGATGGAAATACTCTGCTGTTCCATTGCTTCGTGAATGGAAGTTCTGTCTTGATCATTCATCTAATGAAACACAAAACAAGTAATATTGGTTGGTTATGTTATACTGTATAAAGTAAAAATGTGATAGTTTGGTTGCATACCTTGTCAAACTCATCGATTAAACACACGCCTTGATCAGCCAATACCAACGCGCCTGCCTCCAGCGTCCACTCCCTCGACTGTGGATTTCTTCTGACATACGCTGTCAAACCAACCGCGCTTGCGCCCTGCCCAGTTGTAAACACAGCTCGCGGTGCAATTTTCTCAACGAATTTCAAAAACTGCGACTTTGCTGTGCCTGGATCACCACAGATCAAGACATTAATATCACCACGGACTTTATGTTTCTGTCCGGGATTCTTCGGCTCGCCACCGAACAAAGCCAAAGCAAGCGCGCGTTTGATATAATCATGTCCGTAGATAGATGGCGCTATAGACGCGACTATCCTCTCAGCGATTCGTGGATCTTTTGACATTTTAATGATGGCGTTCATGTCGTCATCAGTCAAAGATTGCACAATCTGCTTGCAATCTTTCACTACCAAATGATTCGCGAAGATTACCGTAGAAAACACAGGAAAACCTTGATCTGTGTTCAAAGAACCATCGTAACTGTTAGTGTAAACTCCTGTCACGTCAACTTCATCACCGGGTTTACAACGATCGCATAAATCGGCTAAAAGTATGCAATCTTTCGAACGTGGTACACGACCAGCAGGAATACGTCCAGGAGATTCTTGTAGAGTGATTTTTTGATAGTTACGGTAAATAGTTTGCTCCATATTGATCTAAATATAAAGAAAAGTGTAAAAATTCTTAAACTTACAGCGGCCATTTTGTACTAACCATGAACGGACCAAGACTTTGACATTCCGGACAATTTCCCGGTTGAACTTCGGCGTATTGTGATTGTACAAACGGACCAAGAACAAAACCGCATTTGTTGCAGTCATATTTGACAATTGACAGCTGTGGGAGGACTCCTGTTGTAGCTGTGACAACACCCAGAGTTCTAACTAGTTGATTGACGTGCAGTTTCCTGTATTACCGACATAAAATTACTTTTACTCAACTTTAACACATTTTTACGTTTTTTCAATTACCTGAAGGTTCTCAACTCTTCTATCAATGGTAAATCCGAAATCCTGACGTGAATTTCATTCGTAACACGTTCATAACTCGGAAAAATGCTCAAAACAATCTCTTTGGCAACTTCATTGAAGATTTCCAGCATTTGAAATGGCGCTTCGGGTAAAAAGTAAGCAAGAACATGTTCCTTATTCGCCAAAGTAGGGAATTCCACCGTGAAACTCGCCTGATTGTTTTCACACATGCGCCGAAGACGTTCTTTGTAAACATAAGAGCCTTTTGAGTTGACATACGTACGCAGGAAGTTTTTGAAACGATTTACGATTTCTGTGCGCGGACCAACCATACAAACCCATTCTTTTATGGTGTAACCTTTAGTATCTTCAAGATTCTCGATGGATTCGATCATCTCGGTGTCCTCCAGTTCACCAGTGGCTGCTTTTTCAGCTTTACGGCGTTTTGCGCGTGGATCTTCATCGTCGTCTTCTTTATCGTAGAATAATTCGCGGTCATCGCGCCGAAAAATGCCGGCTTCTCGGTCGCGTTTACGCATTTCCAACTCGGCAGCACGCCGGTCACCTTGGGACATGTCATCGTAGTCTTCTTCATCGTCCAGGATCGCTGGGTCATAACGATCCAAGCCAGGCATTGGGCGATAATCACTAAATTAATATTTTTTAGTTTTTAGTGATAATTCATAAACGCGTTGAGATATTTTATTAATTCTTTCACTAACTTATTCAGAATTTAATTCTTTATGATATTGTATGTTTTATGAGTGAAATTAACTTACTCTTCCATATTATCCCCGAATAACTCTTCTCCTTCACCTTCATCTTCAATTTCAGCTTGAGAATCACCCAAAAGATCACCCTCATCCTCAAATGGTTCAAAATCCTGCACGGGAGAAGTCATTGCAGACCTACGTGAAGGCGACGATTCCTCTTGAGGCTAAACAAGTTTTTTGTATGGTTTTACAGATGAAATTTATACAAACACAACCCCAAAACTTGTTTTAGTGATTAAACGAAAAATATAACTTACTCGACGCGGCATTTTGTTGTATAACGTGTGGAAAAGTTGATAAAATGTTTATGCACAAAAATATATAGTTAAAACAACGGTTTAAAACACTTTTTCTTAAAAATTACGGAGCAACAAGTAACGCAGCACACAACGAGTAACGAACACTATGGAATGGTGAAAAGCGCGCGAAACGAGTGTAACCTGTTTGCGCAGTGCTGCCAACTTTGAAAAACAAAATGTTTTCAAACACAAAATAATTTTTTACATTTTACGTGTTTAAACGTGGTAATAATGATTAAATATTATTAAAAATAATATTTTAATATTAATTTATAAGTGTTTTGATGTTTTTACCGCTTAAAAACTCTTTTTAAGTGAATTTTTATTTCTGTTGAAATCAATCGAGTTTAGACACCGTAGCGCCATCTGTATTCATTAACTCGAACTAAAATAATATATCTATTTAAAAAACACGAGTGTACAACGAAATAAAACGTTTAAAAACTAATAAAACAATGAAAAATCAATGTTTGCATGATAATAATACGCCAGAATTGTTGTACACTTATAATAATTTAATTTTTTTGTCACTTTCGTTTGTTTCAAATATTTTCACATATTTTGTTTTTGTTATTTTCATACAAGATCAGTTGTTTTTTTGGTTACTTTTGTTTTAGATTGTAAACTATTTGTTGCATTACTTCATTATACTTCATTATAAGTTTACAGCTGATTGGGTTCTGAACACATATATGCTTTGACCATCTCCGCCATCTTGAATAATAAGCCGTGTGTACACACATCCACCATCCACCGGATGTTCATCTCGTCGCTAAACCGCCGCCATTCCATCTCGGTATAGTTTTATTTAAGTATTTGTAGTTACTAATCATTATTAACATTATGTAAACAACAAGAAATGAATTCGGATGAAAACATGATGATTCTTCGCGATCTAAACACAAATCTCACGTACAGTGTGTTTTTAGTTCTCTACAGCACAACGCCGAAAACAACCACAGCGCCACCTCAAGGTCACTACGATGTTTTGAGCCATAACATGGTAGTGACACACGCGACGCCATCTTGTCTTGCGTTTCACAGAATTCAAAGTCTCGTTAACAACAAACACATTTATCGAAATTAGTACATCAACCATACGATTATTATACAGTGTGTTCACATTGTATTCTTGTATTGTTTTGTTTTTGTGCATAATAATTCGATGCATAAGAGATAATTTCACAGAGAGAGAAAAACGTCATTTATAGGTTATGAATTTTTGGTTGATTTACTAACTCTGCTAACAATTCGCTTAACCAAACGCATAGAAAACACAAAAACCGCAACAATTCGTAAACATCTGCCAACACACTATAGCTATAAACTTTATTTTACACAAAACTTAAACCACATGGTATGTTAGTTGTTATTTGCCACATATCTCGTTATAACCGGTGACTAAACATCTCATAACCTAGTTATTCATTACTTATCGTCGCTTACGTAATTAATTCAGTAATTAATCAGTTGCATTGTACACAGTTTTTTTGGTAATAATTAATAATATCACTAACCGATTATTTCTTATTACGTTTTGGCGCAAAAAATTCCCTAGATTATATACAAAGTGTTCAAAAACACAATTTTCACATAAAATCATTCAAACACTTTGTATATAAATATTTATGTACAATATATTTATAGATAACGTACACAACCATTTATTATCGTTTATCGATGAGTGTTAGAGTGTTAAATGTAATCATAGTTTATATAATGAGCAATCAAAACAAATTTTGCTTTGTTTTTAGGTTTTTTAAGGTTAGGTTGTCATATAATACGTTGATATCTCTAGCATGTTCAGTACACATCGTCACATTGTGTGTGAATGTGTATGTTTGGTTGCCTACGTTGATGTTCTGATGATGCTAAGGTAAGTTAGAGTCCTGTCTCTATCACAACATTTAGAATTGTTTTTTTTTTGTTGACATTCGCGAGTGATGTGTGGAATCATGGTTAAATTCGCGTTGCTCGCCGAATGTGAACGCACCCCAGTTGATTCAGATTTTTAGGTTATGGTTTGCCTCAATAAATTTGTACAATCTAATATAATATAATAAAAACCGAAAATCTTTCATTATTTAGTGTGTTGTGTTGTGTAATGTGATGTAAATTGAGCATTTTTGAATTTTATCTTCATGAAAATTCCAATATTAAACATAACCTATTATTCATAACCTAAAAGTGCACTCAACTTGTATTTTCTTCATTTTCTTGCGTTTGCTGTGTCTAAGCGCGCGCTGGAGTGCACTTTAGAGCGGTTATTACCACGTAATAAATTTATACAGTGTGTTCAAATCAAATTAACTTCGCGTTCCGCTTGAATTTCATTATGTTTACGAAATAATAAAATTCACATTAGGTTATGTTTATTAAGTTTGTGTGTGTTTTATATTTTAGGTTATGCTACGTTTTTTTTGGTTTGCATTATCTATGTCGTTGTGACGCGCAACAATTCTCGCTTCGTTTGTTTCGTTGCCATTGACGACGCTGCTTTAAATCAGCTCGTCGCGCGTATCTGTCGACAGAAAGAAGAAACAACAAGTTGTGTCATCCACTGCTTCACTCTCCGCTCCAAAAACTAAAGCACACACTGTCATCAAAAACCAAAACCACACACAACACGCTAAAAACACAAATGTTTTATGTTTTCATTATGTGTGTGTCAGTGTGTCATTGTGTGTGAATGTGAATAATCCACCAATCAGAGCGCCTACAGCAATCCAACTACAACGCAACTAGATATGCAGCATCTCGTTACAACATAAATTTTGAGGTTATGCTGGAGTTTATGTTATAACGAGATATAATGGCAAAACAAATATTCGTTGTCCTATAAATAATCAACTAATCATAATATAATTTATATAAGCAGCGTATTTCAACCTGAAGAGAGCAAGAAAACATAACCTCAAGATAATATCAGATATAACCTTGAAATTATTCAGTGTGTGTGTGTGTGTTATTGGATGGTAATTGATCTAAACATGCGATCCTTCAGCACTTTTATTTTATCTTCTTTCTGTGTATTAATAGCTTAAATTTTATTAATTCGACTTAATTAATAAACCGGAAAACCGGAAGTTGTGAAATAAAAGCCGGGAATGGGTTTTAAACGCCCCAAATGGGATCAAATTATTTAAAAATTAAGAAATATTGGATATTTAAAAACCGGAAAACCGGAAAAATAAAATAAAACTCATGCACTTTTATTTTATCTTCTTTCGGTGTATTAATACCATAAATTTTTGTAAATTCGACTTAATTAATAAACCGGAAAACCGGAAGTTTTGAAATAAAAGCCGGGAATGGGTTTTAAACTCCCCAAATGGACTAAAATTACTCAAAAATTATTAGTTAATTTATAAAGCGGAAAACCGGAAAATTAAAACATTCAACCAAAAATTAAAAATTATTTCAACCTGAAGAGAGCAAGAAAACATAACCTCAAGATAATATCAAATATAACCTTGAAATTATTCAGTGTGTGTGTATTATTGGATGGTAATTGATCTAAACATGCGTTTCGAATGAGTAATACTTGTCCTACGTCAAAAATGCTCAAGAGAATATCATAAGAAAATAAACCACATGCAGATTTTGACATTTTCGAAATTTTGTGTTTTCTTTACCTGCCGCGAGGGGGACAGAGATACAGAGAGAGTGGGGGTAGTAACAATTTGCAATTGTTATGATAGAACTAAGCCCATTTCACACCTACAAACACAGAGTCAATTAGCACACATGTCACACACAATAAAATCCACATCCGCCATTTTGTTTTTTCCGTCTCAGTATGAAATGAGCTGTCGCATACACTGTGTCCGTGATTGTGATTCTACACACAATATTTACAAAAAATTACACACGTAGATTGAATAATTTCGGTGTGAAGGTGCATACAGTGTGTTTTTAGTAAATATTTTTAATTTAAGGTTAAGGGCGAGTAATTGACGTATTTTATTTACGTTTCTGGTGAGGTTATGTGTCGGTGTGTGTGTGTGTGTATAGAGGGATTTGTCACTAGCAATATATTAACGGGTAAGGCATTGGTTGCAGGGTTATAGTTAGAGGTTATGTTGGGTTTTGTTATGAGGGCGTGGCTTAGAGATAGCTCTCGCTGAACTCGAAATCCGATTGGCTGCAGCGGCTCGAGCGCGTGTACACGGAGACGCAGCCGAATGCGCTGTCCGAGGTGCCGGCGTCCGTTATGAAATCGGCGACGATCAGATTGTCCTTACCTTGCGTTAGCGACGCACGCCCCGTGGGGCGGTCGCTGTCCGCCGAGGCGGAGACGCCGCTTACAGCGCCGCCCACTCCGCTGCCCTTCGACTCTTTTTCAGCGATGCGATCCTTCAGCACTTTTATTTTATCTTCTTTCTGTGTATTAATATCATAAATTTTGTTAATTCGACTTAATTAAGAAAGCGGAAAACCGGAAGTTGGGAAATAAAAGCCGGGAATAGGTTTTAAACACTCCCAATGGATTAAAATTAACAAAAAATTAAGAAATATTGGTTAATTAAAAACCGGAAAACCGGAAAATTATAATAAAACGCATGAAAACATCTTTAACTGCCCCCAATGGACTAAAATTACTTAAAATTAAAAATGATTGTTTAATTACCAAACCGGAAAACCGGAAAATTAAAACAAAAATTAAAAATTATTACTTTACCTGCGTGATTAATCTCTGCAGTTCTTCATTTTCATCCACAAGCTTCTGATACTTTTCCTCTTCCTCTTTCGACACGCCCACATCCGGATTGTATTTACTTTCCGCTTTATCCTTAGGATGTCGAATAACCTCAATGACCTTGGGTACGAATATGAGCGCCATGCTGAGGAAGCAGCAGAAAACAATGGCGAGTCCCACAAATGCATACGATGCGTCTTGTTGACTCGCAATCACCATGGTTACCGGCGCAGTAATTAAACATAAAATCACCACGTTGTAGATGGACATACCGACGTACCGCGAGTCGTTGATTTGCTTCACTTTGACAGAACGCGTTTCATATGCGAGGAACAAGCCGAATACCTGTCAAAATGTTGTCAAAATGTCAAAAATGTCATTTTTAGAGGTTATGTGATGATTTTAAGGTTAAAACCTACCAAAACAAGTCCTTTGTAGCCGTAAATCACCCCCAACCACACTGTATTGTTCTCACTCTCGCAGTGCTCCAGTTCCGGGCGGATTTTTGAATCGTCCGCGGCTGAAATTGGATCTTCAAGTGGGAATAACTCAACGCGACGTTGTAACGGATCATGGAGTTGCCACGCAAGCATGATAACAATGTCCAACACCAGTAGACCAGTCACCATCGAGTATAACTTCCAGGGTTGGACTGTTTTCTATAAAATTTACGCATAAAAACCCTAAAATATGACATTTTTTGAGGTTATACTTACCGTTTTAACCTTGGGATCGCTCTTGGCCTTGGTGGTGAGTCTGTGCACACGCCACACCTTGCTAAACATGGCGCCGTAGGAGAGTGTGAAGCCGAATGTGATCAGCCATGTTCGCGTCTGACACACGGAGGGGTAAGCTTCCGGGGCGACAAATCGCCCATCTAAACCCAGCAGATACACGCTGGTCAAGCAGACAATGACGCCGACCAGCATTATCGTGTTGCACACCGGATGCGATGATTGTATTACTCTGCAAATGCAAAAAACATGACATAACCTGAAAATTTCGTATTCGGCGCACTGTGCGCAAATATTTAATGTGTCGTAAACGTGCGTGAAACGCGTTACGTTCGGTGCGTGTCAGAAATGCCAATGTTTTGCTGCCTTCGAAAAACGGCACCCGAGAGGAATAATTAATGAAAAGACAAATTAATCGCAGCCAATCGTTTGTATACAACCCAAATTACAGTAAAATACAGTGCATTGAATCGAATACAATCATTGTATGCAACCAGAATTACAACTAAAGTTGTGGAGCATTGATTTGTATACAATCATTGTATGCAACCAGAATTACACGAAAAATAAACCAATGAATTGTATACAATCACTGTATGCAACCAGAATTACATCTAAACTGTGGGGCATTGATTTGTATACAATCATTGTATGCAACCAGAATTACACGAAAAATAAACCAATGAATTGTATACAATCACTGTATGCAACCAGAATTACATCTAAAGTTGTGGAGAATTGATTTGTGTACAATCATTGTATGCAACCAGAATTACACGAAAAATAAGCAAATGAATTGTATACAGTCATTGTAGGCAACCAGAATTACATCTAAAGTGTGGAGCATTGATTTGTATACAATCATTGTATGCAACCAGCATTACACGAAAAATAAACCAATGAATTGTATACAATGACTGTATGCAACCCAAAATACAGTTATTTTACGTTGTGGCATGTTTTTACCTTCTATGACTATTCCAGATGTTAAATATTATAAGGCCAATTGCGACTAAGATTCCTATACTCGAAATGATGCACATGCAGATGAAGAGCGGCAGCGAGACGGTTCGCAACACTTTGCGTATGATTGTTCGATCTTGAGGCACTTTACCACCTAGAAAACACATCAAAAAGAGGTTAGTTTACTTCAAAAGCTTATAACTTTTAAACCAATCATCAGAAATTACCAAACTTAGTCTTAAATTAAACCTACGTTAATAATCTATAAAATAAAATCATAAAAGTTTATATAATTTATTCCTAAGTTACGTTAAAACGTCTTTTTGTATCATAAATTATTCTGTTGCATGTTCAGTTGCATATTTATGAATGTCTTCATTCCGCGACTATCGGAAAACAATTTGGCAGTGATAACAAGCCGCCGACACTTGCCAACAACGTCAGAATCCAACTCGAACAAATTCCGCCAACCGCGCGCGAAGATAATTCGGTATAATTTCCTCGTTTATGCGAACCGCGCAAGAATAACGCGCGTGTTGATTATTTGGTTGCCTATATATCTCAGCGCACGCTATACGTGTATCCGTATAATCAGCAATTGTTTTCGCGTTGCTTTTTTTGTTTTCGCCCGTTTTATTAGTATTTTATTTCGGCCGAGGGAAAGTTTGCGTCTTCGCGTGTGTCTCATCGATGAATAATAATGAGATCCGCAAGCGCCGGTGTGTGGCGTGCGAAAATAAACGAATATAAAAGCGAATCGCCCCCCGAAAGAAATAAGAAATAAAAATGGCGATGTGCTTTTGTCGCATCGTGATCGGCTCGGAATATAAATCGGTGTCGACATCTAAACTACGTTCTTCAACTGCTTTTTTTGTTGTTTTTTATGCGGAGAAAAAAGAAAATAAGGCAATTTTATATGAATCAACAGAAAATACAAGTTTTTTAGTATTTATGCAATAAATTGGGTTTATTTGTATGAAAATTGAAGAATAATTTAATAAAATGCATAAATAATAATGAAATGTGTTGTTTTATGGCGTAATTATAAAGAATTGAATGAAAAAACGAATAATTTTAATGTAAAATGCAAAAAAATGCATTCCAGCGCCATCTGTGCGGAAATTTCTAAAGTATATGGAAATGTGTCGCATAGATGGCGCTACAATGCAGTTTTTAACTAAAAATAAACTATATATGCTTCCCAAATCACAATTTTAATAAAATTAACCTTATTTAATGCAAAAAACAACAAAATAACCTCAAAACATCAAAAATTACCTCCAAAAACACAAAAAACAAGTATATTTATATGAAAATTGAAGAATAATTTAATAAAATGCTAAAATAATAATGAAATTTGTTGTTTTACTTCATAATTATAAAGAATTCAACGAAAAAACGAATAATTTTGATGTAAAATGCAAATAAATGCATTCCAGCGCCACCTATACGCAAATTTTAGAAGTATATGAAAATATGTCGCATAGATGGCGCTACAATGCAGTTTTAAACTAGAAATAAACTATATATGCTTTCCAAATCACAATTTGAATAAAATTAACCTTATTAAATGCAAAAAACACCAAAATAACCTCAAAACACAAAAATTACATCCAAAAACACATAAAACAAATATAATTCATGTAATTTTTCATAAAATTCGTTAATAAATTGACTTTTTGCTTACCACTCCAGACTTCCCTGTCGAACCATGTGAGATTGTCCGCCTGCGTGTCATAGTATCCCAGGACGATGTAATTCCCGTTGATAACTTGCTCGATCTGCGTGAGCGCAATGCGGTCACCTTGAGAACTGAACGCAACAAAACCCTAAACACAGCAGAAAAAAAAACACATCCCCACATTAAAATAATTTCATACGTACACGAATGCAAATGACACATTCTTTTTTCCACACTACGCGCATCGGCGTGTGTTTTTAATGTAAATACGTAAATACGTCAAGATTTATGTTTGTGCATGACAAAATGAAAGCGCAAGATAAATATTCCGGCGGACAAGAATGGAAATGTGCAAGTTGCGAGGAAATTTATAGTATAGATAAATAGTACGCGAAGCTGAACTGTAATAAAACGTGTATGAAACGCTCAAAAAGAGAATTTATGTATGTGCGGAGGGTAGCTAACAGTCGCAAACACGTTTTTTTCAGGTTATGTTTCAATTTAATAGCTTTAAATGGTTAAAATGAGGAATAGCACTTACGGAAACTCCTAAAAATTGTGTAGAATTGATCGCTGAGTAAATATCGTCGGCGATTTCCTTATTGTTGTAGTTGAAGTCTTTGAGGCTTTTGCCGTATTTGTGCAAACGGTCCATTGTCTTGTTGAATGCTGCAACACGCAAGCATTTGCATATTGTATAAACATGTATATTTGGTTGCCTATAGTCACATAAACATCTCTGTTAGTTTTACGTGTATACATGGTTGCCTAGAGTTGTTAGTTTAAAAGTGACAGCGTAAAAAGTTAAAATTATGTTTGTAAACCACTTAGAAACTCTTTTAAACTAAAAATTCAGTGTGTTTAATGTGATTAATCATTAATTTAACCATAAAAATCTTATTTCCGTAAATTTTCCATACTAAAATCATAAGTCTGTCATTTTTAACATGTATATATGGTTGCCTATAGTCACATAAACATCTCTGTTAGTTTTACGTGTATATATGGTTGCCTAGAGTTGACACTTTAAAAGTGACAGCGTAATAAGTTAAAATTTTGTTTCTTAACCACTTAGACCACTTAACCATTTAAAAAGGTAAAAATTCTGTGTGTTTAATGTGATTATTCATTAATTTAACCATAAAAACCTTATTTTCGTAAACTTTCCATATTAAAATCATAAGTCTGTCATTTTTGACATGTATATATGGTTGCCTATAGTCACATAAACATCTCTGTTACTTTTACGTGTATACATGGTTGCCTAGAGTTGACACTTTAAAAGTGACAGCATAATAAGTTAAAATTTTGTTTGTTAACCATTTAAACCACTTAACCTCTTAAAAAACTAAAAATTCAGTGTGTTTAATGTGATTAATCGTTAATTTAACCATAAAAACCTTATTTCCGTAAATTTTATTTCCTAACTTAGTAAATTAGTAAGTTTGACATGTATATATGGTTGCCTATAGTCACATAAAAATTGACATGTTTAAAACTTTAAAAATTCTTCTTTAAAACTAAAAATACAGTGTGTTCAGAGTGATTACTGCCTAATTTAACGATAAAAGCCCTATTTCCGTCCACCTACCACGCAAAACTCGCATTCCTCCAGTTGTAGGCGTTGTTTGTTCGAAAGTAAAGTGCAAGCGCAAAAGCTCGCCCGGAAAATACACGATTACGGCATCGAATCGCGCTGAGTGCTCACACGAGTAAACATTCCGCCGCGTGCCGAACGCAAATCGATGTTTGGCGCAACCAGAACACAAGAACATCGCGTACACAAATATACAAGTACATCATCACACATTCACACAGCCCGTCGGACATGAGTCGCAAGTACAAGTACACAAATGCTAAGTAACGAACGCGCTCCGGGTGTTTCCGGCTTCCGGTGTGTGCGAAACTAGCTGGAGAGTATTATTTAAAAGAAAAACAACACACGCGCGGTAAACATAAACCACTACAACAAAAAAAACATAAAAAGTAAAAAATGGCCGCTTTGATGTAACATAACCTTAAATAACCTCGAATTCAATTAATTAAGCGGTGTTGTTGTTGATTTAGTCAATTTCTGTTTGTTAAATAGTTGTTTTACCTAAAGCAACCGACCATACGGCGTCGTACGCCAGCGGGGCTTCTTGATAACCTTCAGGAAAGCGCTGGTTATCAATGTCGTAGCCCTCCTTGCGTAGTACGTCGTTCAGCCGCAGCCGGAAGTCCTCCGACGTCATGCCTGAAATGGTGCGCTCGTTGAGGTTCTGGTTCCACATGAGCGCCTCGGTGGTGATGTGCCCTTCGGCCGCCTTGCGCATCTGCTCCACGGTGCAGTCGATTCCCTCCTTCTCGAGATTCACTTCGAACCAATTATCTTCGTACCATCCTGCACACGCACGTTTAACAAAAACATCAAATTAGATATCGTATGGATAAGCAGCTAGCATTGCGTGCGGGGTAGACATTTAGAATGTAGGCAACACATATTGCACACAGGAGAATTATTATAAGATAATAAATTGAGTTAATAAATGATATAGAAATGATATGATAATCTATATATATAAAAATGAATTGCTGTTCGTTAGTCTCGCTAAAACTCGAGAACGGCTGAACGGATTTATCTTATCTTGGTCTTGAATTATTCGTGGAGGACTAGGGAAGGTTTAAAAGGTGAGAAAAATTCGAATAATTGCCGGGAAAATCCTCAAAACAGCTCTTTTCTATAGAATAAAATTTGACATTGAGATTCAATCATAGTTATAGTTAAATAGTTGAATTCGAGATGGCGCGCTGAAGTGCATTATTGACAAAACTTTATATAATTAATTTCTTTGAATTAAAATTGCTAATCTTATTGATAGAATTGACTCTTACTACGAGTATGTCTAGAACAAGAGAGTAATAACGAATTACATTTTTATTAAACACTGCCGGAACAAAGTCGCGGGCAACAGCTAGTAGTTAATATAGAAAATGGAATGAGAAATTGTTTTCGAAGACACTGTATGCAACCAGTTGTGCGTATAGTGTGTTATTTTATATGAATTTACAAAAATACAAGTTTTGTTGCTATTTATGCATTAAATTATGTTTATTTACATAATAATTATGTATATTGCATAAATAATAATAAATTTTGTGATTTTTTGTTGTAATTATAAAGAATTTAGCGAAAAAATTGATTTTTTGATGTCAAAATGTAAATAAACAGATTCCAGCGCCACCTATGCTCAAATTTAATAACTATATTGACATATATTGGATAGATAGCAATACAATGATGTTTTTAATTGAAAATAAACTATTTCGGCTCTTCAAATCGCGATTTTACGAAAATTTCGCTAAGAAACCTAATGTGAATGTTAAGATATTAATTTAGGTTATTAAATGATGTCGTTTGATGTGATAATAGACAAGTTAATATAAAATAAGAATAAAAGTGGTTCCACGCGACACCGTAGGCAACCAGTTCAACACACATTGTGGCAAATAACGGTTGTAATTTGGGCAAAGTGCGCCGCCATTTTCCACGCGATTTAATTCATTCAGACGCCATCTTGAACTATCCCGTGGAACGTTTTCGCTTTCATCTTTTATTTCATTTCGCGCGTTCCGCTTCGTTTTCGTTTCTTTTCTTGCTCGACAAACGAAAAAAAAGAAGAGAAGTGACCCTGCGAGTGTATTAACGAAGTCACATCTAATAGAAAATGCTCTTGGATGTCTCCCGGCCAGAAGAATACACCGAGTGTTGTTAAAAATCAAAAAATTTAAAAATAATCGGAAATTAACAATAAAACACACAAAGTGTTTAAAAAAGATGTTAATTTTATAGATAATTAAACACTTTGTATGTAATCAAGTAAGTCAACGTTAGCACAACGTCTGTTATCATTAAAAGCAATCGCTTTTGTGCTGTGCAGCAGTAAAGACGCGAAAAAAGAAGAGATTGAAAGTCAAAAGCAAAACAAAAAGGCGACTGCGCTTTTGGCGCGCGTTTTACCAAAGACCCAAGAGGAAAGACGAAAAAAACGCCTATTAGTCGCGAACACAAAAGAGGCGCGCTGTTAATTGACACCTCTTTCATTAGAATCATTTGATTGGACACTTTTTCAACCTTAAAAGAGAACAGTCGGTGTATTACTGGTTGCCTATAGTGTACCAACACATTTTCAACCATGTTTCACATGTTACAGTTTGCAAATATCTCGTAAACTAAAAGAGATAAGAAGGTCAAATCGTAGACGCTTAACCTAAGGAACATTCTCTACAAGATAGGCTAGTTAAAATCGAAATCTAAGAGATGAAATTTTTGGTCTTAAGAAAAAATCGTCAAGGGGGGGGTGCTTGATACTTTTTTTCAACGATTTTCAATAATTAATATCTTCTAAACTAAAAGAGATAGCAACCTGCGGATTGTAGATTACGGAAGAATGAATAATTCTCTATCAGATAGGAATTTAAAATTATTTAATTTCAAAGAGTAAAAGGTCGAAAAATGCGACTAAAAGTGCTGAAAAGAGACATTTTTCAATTTTTGAGCATTTTCTTCAATTGTGAATATCTCGTAAACTAAAAGAGATTAGAAGGTCAAATCGTAGGCGCTTAACCTACGGAACCTGCTCTACAAGATAGGCTAGTTAAAATCGAAATCTAAGAGATGAAATTTTCATTCTTAAGACAAAATCGTCAAGGGGGGGTGCTTGATCCTTTTTTTCGACGATTTTCAATAATTAATATCATCTAAACTAAAAGAGATAGCATCCAGCGGATCGTAGATTACGGAAAAATGAATAATTCTCTATCAGATAGGAATTTAAAATAATTCGATTTCAAAGAGTAAAAGGTCGAAAAACGCCGCTAAAAGTGCTGAAAAGTGACATTTTTCAATTTTTGAGCATTTTCTTCAATTGTGAATATCTCGTAAACTAAAAGAGATTAGAAGGTCAAATCGTAGGCGCTTAACCTACGGAACCTGCTCTACAAGATAGGCTAGTTAAAATCGAAATCTAAGAGATGAAATTTTCATTCTTAAGACAAAATCGTCAAGGGGGGGTGCTTGATCCTTTTTTTCGACGATTTTCAATAATTAATATCATCTAAACTAAAAGAGATAGCAACCAGCGGATTGTAGATTACGGAAGAAAGAATAATTCTCTATCAGATAGGAATTTAAAATTATTTAATTTCAAAGAGTAAAAGGTCGAAAAATGCGACTAAAAGTGCTGAAAAGAGACATTTTTCAATTTTTGAGCATTTTCTTCAATTGTGAATATCTCGTAAACTAAAAGAGATTAGAAGGTCAAATCGTAGGCGCTTAACCTACGGAACCTGCTCTACAAGATAGGCTAGTTAAAATCGAAATCTAAGAGATGAAATTTTCATTCTTAAGACAAAATCGTCAAGGGGGGGTGCTTGATCCTTTTTTTCGACGATTTTCAATAATTAATATCTTTTAAACTAAAAGAGATAGCAACCAGCGGATTGCAGATTACGGAAGAATGAGTAATTCTCTATCAGATAGGAATTTAAAATTATTTAATTTCAAAGAGTAATAGGTCGAAAAATGCCGCTAAAAGTGCTAAAAAGTGACATTTTTCAATTTTTGAGCATTTTCTTCAATTGTGAATATCTCGTAAACTAAAAGAGATAAGAAGGTCAAATCGTAGACGCTTAATCTACGGAACTTTCTCTACAAGATAGGCTAGTTAAAATCGGAATCTAAGAGATGAAATTTTTGGTCTTAAGAAAAAATCGTCAAGGGGGGTGCTTGATACTTTTTTTCGACGATTTTCAATAATTAATATCTTCTAAACAAAAAGAGATAGCCACCAGCGGATTATAGATTACGGAAGAATGAAAAATTCTCTATCAGATAGGAATTTAAAATTATTTAATTTCAAAGAGTAATAGGTCAAAAAACGCCGCTAAAAGTGCTAAAAAATGACATTTTTCAATTTTTGAGCATTTTCTTCAATTGTTAATATCTCGTAAACTAAAAGAGATAAGAAGGTCAAATCGTAGGCGCTTAACCTACGGAACCTGCTCTACAAGATAGGCTAGTTAAAATCGAAATGTAAGAGATGAAATTTTCAGTCTTAAGAAAAAATCGTCAAGGGGGGTGCTTGATACTTTTTTTCGACGATTTTCAATAATTAATATCTTCTAAACTAAAAGCGATAGCAACCAACGAATTACTGTGTATGATAGATTGAATAATTCTCTATCAGATATAAATTTAAACTTATTTAATTTCAAAGAGTAATAGGTCGAAAAATGCCGCTAAAAGTGCTAAAAAGTGACATTTTTCAATTTTTGAGCATTTTCTTCAATTGTGAATATCTCATAAACTAAAAGAGATAAAAAGGAACGGATCGCGGCGTCTTAATCTACGTAAAATTCTCTATCTTCCGAACAAAGGGAGATAGAAATCAGCGAATTGTAGATAATGATTATTACGTGCTGACGATACTTCTAATGGTCTTGATTTGCAATGGTTTTAATAAAGTATCGTTTTCAAAACAATAACTTGTGAGGGGATAGCGTACAGTAAGTGTATACTTTACTTCGCGTATTCTTACATTCTAAACATATAAGAAAAGTTGCATGCAGTAAACAATCAAGTTATTTTGTTTTGTACTCACCGATAAAATACCAAACATAAGATCGTCCGTACAGGTTCTGTTTGTACATCTCGCACAGCACGCGGCGCGCAGCAACAACGTAAAACAATCCAACGATGACTCTCGCGTCCTGCCGGCGTAGATTACGCACCGCATCAGTTGGATCCGTCATAAAACTCTGCCGCGTGACAATTTCTATGCCTGCTTCAGTGCAGCGTGCTTCCAGATCTTCCACGGTTGAAATAAATACTTCTTCTGCTTGCTGTAGAATAGCGACGCGTGACCATCCGAACTTTTTCATCAACTTGATGCGTGTTGGGTTGTGCACTGTCGCTGACGGATGCGTGCGGAATAATGTCGGGAATCGTTGTCTGTCAGATAGCGCAGGCGAACTTGCGCCGTAGCACAGCTGTCAAAAAAACAACATAGCATGAAATCATATCCCCACATGTGTAATCCCTACTAATATTATAAATGCGAAAGTCCTGATGTTTGTTACACTTTGACGCAAAAACTACTTAACCGATCATCATGAAAATTTGTACACATATTTTTAGTGGTCCCCGAAAGGTTATAGGCTACTTTTTATTTAATAAAAAAATTATTTTTTAAATAAAATAAAGAAATTGTTTAGCCAATAATTCCTCTGCATCTGGCTATTTGACTACTTTAACGCCATCTAGCATTCCAGAAATGAAGCTCAAACCTAAGTACTATAGTACCATCACACTGTATTATCACACTGTATTACCGACAGCTACGTCAACATCAAATCCAATTGACTACACTATGGAGACTGTACACTATACTTCCATGGACTATACTTTCAGCCATTTTAAACTTCCCGCCATTCTACTTCATTGTTACTTCTTCTGTGATTACAGACGCGTACGGAAGCAACTTGATTATTTTAGATATTCGCGAGCGAAGCCGCGAGTTAGGCTAGTGTTTAATATAGGTAACTAAATGTACAAAGTTTAATAATACGTATTTTGACGAAATTTGTTTTGTGTGATTTTCTGTATGAAAAATGTAGTTGGGCAACTTTTGCACTTTCGGCTGTATTACATTTCCATGCGAATATGCGCTTGTGATTCGTGCACGTTGGAAACTCGTGGAAATATTAGCAAAAAAGCGCTCGTGCTGTGAGTACGCGAGTAGATTGTGTTGCATACACGCAGAACACGAGTGGGGTATTCACTGTACGGCGGTTTGGTGTGTAGTGTGCGGTATGCATTATACATTATTTGCTTTTTTCGCGTTTGGCGTTCGCGTGCGGCGCGACGCGCGATGGCAATTTGAATAATACGAAATTGGCGCATTTGCATTCGCGAAATATTCGCCGAAAAATCGCGAAATAAACACATACACAGCGGTAGCTCATAAAAAGACCACTAAAACTGGTATTTTAACAAAATTTTTGTGTTTTTACACAAAAAACTTGAAATTTCAGCAAAAATCGTAAAATTTTCATTGAAAAACAGTATTCTGTACAAAAACTTAATTTTATTTTATTCTGCATAAGAAAGAAAACAAACGTAATTAAGACGACGCCTTCATCTTGAGTTTATTCAACCGCCAGGAGAAAAACACGAACGAATTACAAACTACGGAAACGCAGAGTTTATATAAAAATGGTGCAAATAAAATTACAGGAAAACTGCGCGTAGATAAAATGAACGTAAAAACTATCTCGACAGTTAAATAAGTAGAAACTTATGAATAATAATAAGCAGAGTAGACTACGTGGCGCTAAATATTTCATCGTCTTAGCAGGAAAACGCGGAGTTCTTTCCGTGTTAGTGAAACGGCAGCGTCGAGAAAAACAAACTTTTCACATTTAAATGTTGCGCATTTAATTCTTTTAAATCGTCTTAAAACATTCGCTATTTTTAAAACAACTTGGGTACATTAAACTAAATTAAAAATTAAAATGCAGACCATATTTTAGATATTAATTTTTTTTTAAATAAAAAAAAAAAGAAAAATTAAGAAATTTAGCGTTTTTCGAGCGTTATTTTAAGACATTTAGAGTTTATACAGAGGGTTGTAGTTGGGAAAAATTAAAGTAGGGTTAATAAGCTATGATTTACAAAAAAGAAAAGTAAAATATTATAAGCAGTTTAAGAGATACAGAGTGTTTTAAAAACATGTTTTATTATGGTGAAAATTTTTGTTTATATTTTGACGCAATTTAAACTATATTTATGGTAAATTAATAAACTCAAAATAGTATGCAAATGATAAAGAAACTAATTAGCTACAAAACTACCCAAACAAAATTAAAATATCTTTATTACTTTAAAAGTTATCACGTTTTTAGTAAACCAACTTGAAAACTAATCTTTTTACCTAAACTATAGTCAACCAATAATACACAAAATAGCCACCATTAACCAGCTCCGTATAAAAAACCACTTCACATGTAACAAATTGTTACAAATCACTTTAATCAATCCAAAATATAAAGTTTACGTACTCACATCGCGTATTCTATTGAATTTTATTTACAAACCGATAACAAACGCGGCAAAATTGACGAAATTGACGACAACAAGCAGCAAATCACAAACTCCCGAAACTCCCAAACAACCAAACTGTATCGTACTTACATCCAACGACAACAACAAGCACAAGCACGAGCACAACCGGCGACGACAGCATCGAATCGATTCGATGAAATAGAAACTTAAACTTTGCTGCCTCGTTTAAACTTTAAAACTCCCTGGGTGACAAAATATGAAATATAAAAACATACAATGTGTTCAAAGGAAATAAAAAATAAATAAAAACAAATTTATCACATCAAAAACATATTTTTTATAAAAAAAAACTTCGAACACATTGTATGTACAATTTTTTTTTAAAACATACAATGTGTTCAAAGAACAAAAAAATTAAAACTAAATTTATCTCAAGTTAAATAAAACTTTTACTTATTTTCAGAAAATTTTTCCCTTTGAACACATTGTATATCCAAAAGTTTAAGTACTCTTGGCCGGTTTTCTTCACTAATGCAAATTGAAAAGTATCTCCTCGTCTCGTCGATGATGGTGGGCCGGGTTCTTGCTTGCGCGCTAAGGCATTCTGCCAATATTTACATTTCCTACGCGACTCGTGATTTTATTCAATATTTATGCGGTCGACTGCGAGAGCCGCGATTGTGACTTATTGACTTATAGATGCGCGACTCCAACCATGCTCCCCGATCGGCACTCGCAAAAATAAACCACACGCAGCAAAATAAGACGTCTCGGACGTATTATAAATAAAACACGCCGAGAATAATGGAAAGCGTGACGAGCATCAACACAAAATAAAAAAAAAAATACATAATATTTCCAGCGACATTTTCAATTTTCCACCAAATCGAAACTAAATATTGAACTTATCACTCACAAAAGATAAGCATATATTTTATATTTAATGCGCATGCGGATGTTTTTGCTAGTTAACATGTTTCCACTCTTAATTAGATGATACACACAATTCCGGTTAAAGTTATTTTGGAAACGTTAAACCGAAACTTTCGCCATTCGAAGTATGAAAAGCGTTTGAAGCTGCAGCGCCTGAAGTTAGGCTTCTCTATTCTCGTGGGTTGCGTCGGTAACGTCGGTCGCGAATAGCAAACCGAAAATAACTTCATTATCGTCGCTAGATTAGTTTAGTTTCGCTCGGCGCGAAATTAAATTCAATTAGTGCGCACGCGCCACGGCAACACGCCAATGATACAGTGTGTTACAATTTAAATTAGTATTCTCTTATTTTTTGTGTGCAGTTGAATTATTTGATTATGTAACAAAACGTCCGCTATACGTAATTTAGGTTAACTAGCGCCATCTGGTGGTGAATACCTAAACTCATCAATATAGGCGTGGTTTCCTTTAAAATGTCAAAAGCTGAGTAAATAACAACGAAATTTTAGGTTTAATCAATACGTAAGCGTGAATTGTTACATTAAAACAATGAAATACGACCGTTACTTGAATTACCACAATGTTCACTTCACGCTTGCGAGAATATTTACATTTAATATCGCGAAACGAAACGCTTAGGGCCTTTGCAGACGCCGAAATTTTCACTTTTTGCTCTGTGTTCGTCTTCCAACCGGAAACTTTACTAATTTTAGGTTTAATTGTTGAAATATAAGCATTTGTACAATTAAAATTATTTTTTATGTAAATTTAACCTCAAAAATACGATAAAAATATAGTTTTTTATTTATTTGTGGGGATATTTAATTATTTTAACATTTTGTGGTGTGGATTATTCAAATTGTTTGCGTATGTAGCAATAAGCTATACAAATGCAACTAATTCAAAAAGTTGCACCGCGCGGATGTTATTTCGGTGCGCTGTTAATTAAAACTAAAACGTTTGAAAGGCCACGGGCGGCGAACACAAAATTATTGCGTAATTAAAAATTTATTCCCACAGGAATTAATTCGGAGGATTTATTTTATTTTTATCGCGCATGTGTAGTTGAATTTTAAGTTAACGTACAAAATAATATTGTTCAAATGTAAAAATAAAAAAAATTAAAACCGGAAAACCGGAAATATGTCTCAAACAAATGAAAATATCTCAAAACGTAAAGAAAATCAAAAATAAAAATTCCGGAAAACCGGAAGTGACCGGAAATAACTTGAATATGTACACATTTAATCTCCGGATGTCAAAAAACCTTAAAAAACTCAAAATTAAATGTAAAAATAATTTTTAACCTAAAAAATGAGGTTATATTCACTTTTTTGGTTAAATAAGCCCCGCCCACTAAATAATTCTCAATGGGCGGAGCATAAAAACACAAAAATAATTTTTTTATGCTCAAAATTATTTTAATAATTCATTTATCCCGAATAACTAAGTATCATAATCTTTACGACTTGCCCAAAATCCTTCAGGACTTCATTCCGGTCTTAACTTCAATTCTCTCTCCACTCGCCGCTGGGATAATACTAATAAAGATCATAGCGATAAAGATAATGATAATAATCATGACATCACTTCATGAATATCTACGACTGTTAACACTCGAGGCAAACAGCGAAAAAATATGAGGATAATATCGTTTACGAAGGATAAGACGCGTTAAATGACATCATGAATAGACAAGACTTAATTTCGGCCGCCGATTTGAATTATGAAGGTCCTGCGGATAATAATTCCGGCCGGCGCGTTCTCCAGACGCTCGTTTATGCGCGACGCAGTTTCGTCCTTGAGTCCTTTGCGCCTCGGACGGCGGCGATAATGCTGCAACACTCGTCGCAACAATGCAGACGCGGATAGGATAAGTAATTCAGTAATTATTGACCTCAAGGGGCGTATAACCTTAGAGTACATATTTTTGGCCACGCCCATGTGAATTATCCAGTGGGCGGGGCAAAAATACGAAAATTATTAAAATAAC